GCTTAACTCCATTCGGCTTTGATGACTAACTATGACCATACCTTGAATTTCTGAAGGATTATTTTTTAAACCTAATAAGGTTGTTCTGTGTGCTATCACTATCTTTATCATTATCCTAGTTATCCTCATTATTGTTATCATTATCAAATATTACTATTACTATTACTTTTATCATTATCAGTATCATTATTCTTATCATTATTTTTCATTATTATTTTTGTTATTTCCATTGTTGTTCATTTTATCCTTAATATCATTCTCATTATTACTATTACTACTGCTATCATTATTATCATCTTTATCATTACAAGTATTATCGTCATCATCAATAGTATTATTATTAGTAGTATCATCATCATCATCATCATTATTACTTTTCTTTATTACAATCATTACTACCATTCTGGCTATTACTAATTTTTGCTTAAACTTTATCATAATCAAAGAAATATTACCATTATCAAATAAATACACACATATCACATGTTTGTTGACATAATAATTTTAATAATTCTACAACTATTATCAGTAACATTATTATTATCTTTATTTATTTCAATATTATTACTATTAGCTATATCAAAATCATTACTACCTGCAAAATTAATATTGCTTTATCACTACTACTATCAACTCTACTACTTTCTAGTCATGACCATCATTACAATTATTAGTAATATCACTATTATTCTAATTATCATTTCATTGTAATCATTATCATTTTTACTCAATTTGCTGAATGTTGCAATAACATTATTAATGTCATTTTACCATCAGTAATAATTATTGTCATTATTAACTTCATCATTATCATCACTAACATTGAATTCATACTCTGCAACAAATATTCTGCCAACAATGCGACCAACTGCATATTGCGACTAGTGTCTACTGTAGTGGAGAAATAGATCTCAAAACTTTTATTTATACATTTTTGCAATAAGTTCACTTAAATATTATAATGTCATTAATGGAAAAAGCTAGTAATACTTATAAAAATGAAATAAATAACAGAACAGCATTAATGATGATGATTATTCAACACAGAATACCACTGACATTAATTATATTTTAAATGCCTAACAGAAAAAATGTAATATTTGTACAATTTTCTGCCTTTTTAGCCCAATATCCAAAAATCAAAATCTGACTAGCTTTAAAAAAAAAAGGCTTTATCAAATGACTTTGCACTCTATTACTAGCCAAAGCCAATGTCTGAAATATAGATATTCTTTTTTAAACCCTCTACTGATACCCTACCCAATGGCCAAAAATTAAATATAAAAACAAGCTCCTATCCATCGAAAAACAAATAGACAAACCCGGTGCTAGACCTTTATATAATTCATTTTGCTTAGACATCTTGCATAACTTTATTTTGCAACTTCACCTTAGTAACAGCATCTCATCCATATTTTTCATCTCACAGATTTTAATAGAATGCAAATATGCAGAGAGGGAAAAAGGTGAAACAGAAAAGAAAAGAAAAATACAAGATAATGTAAAAAAAAAATAAATATATATATATTCATTATATGGGAATGTAAAAGAAACCGCCTTCAAAAGTATAATAACAAAACATGACTAATAAAATTGATAATGGAAAGTCATGACATTTTCATTTCCTCATGACTCTTCTTCCCTTGCACATGGAAGGCAATTTTCTCACCCTTAGAGGACTTGATTTCCTCCTGAACTGATTCCCTCATGCCTTTTCCTCATTTTTTATGACTTAATTTCCTCATGGCATAAATCCCTCCTGCCTTTTCCTTATTTTTTTTATGACTTAATTTCCTCATGGCATAAATCCCTCATGCCTTTTCCTCTTTATTATATGACTTAACTTCCTCATGGCATAAATCCCTCATGACTTTTCCTTATTTTTTTTTATGACTTTATTTCCTCATGGCATAAATCCCTCAGGCCTTTTCCTTTTTTATGACTTAATTTCCTCATGGCATAAATCCCTCATGACTTTTCCATGTGACTCCTTTGTTGCTCATGAAATCTTGTCATATTTAACACATTGACCAATCGAAAACGAGACATATTTATTGGACATTTCACATGGGGTGGAATTTTTATTATTAAAACCTTTACATATTGAACATTTAACGATAATTTAACGATGATTTTACCAATCATTGAGCATTTATATGTTGAAGATATAGGCCTACTGTCGCGTCCAGAGGGGATTCCAGTGGCCTTCGTCGGGTTCGTTTATTAACTCCTACCATAAGGAATAGGAGGACTGAGGTGTAAAGCGGCGGAAAGGACAGAGAAGAGGAGTAAATAGGAGGAGAGGAGTAAATAACAAAAATTATTTAAAGGTGCGAGTGTTGGTCCTCACGACAAGCAACCCGAGAATCTCCCTCCTTTACGTATCTGTATCTCCCTCTGAGCCTCGCTATTCACCCCCTTAATCCTTACTCTAATCCTTTTTAACATGGTCTAGAGATCCTGTCGAAGAAGTTTAAAAAAAAAGAAGGGTAAATTTTAC